GGAAGCGCTGGGATGGGTTCCCTAGGGAGGTGGAGGAATCTTCATTCTTAGAGGTTTTAAGTCCTGGCTTGACAAAGCCCTGGCTGGGATGATTTAATTGGGGTTGGTCCTACTTTGAGCAGCAGGTTGATCTAGATACCTCCTGAGGTCTCTCCCAACCCTAGAATTCTACGAGTCTGATTCTATGAAGCAAGGCGTACATTTTGAACCATGAGGGTAATTTATAGGCAGGTGTGTTAGACCAAGATGGATGAGCAAGCATCTCAGAGAGGTGATTAAGAAAAAGCAGAAAGCATATAAGGAGTGGAAAATGAGAGGGATCAGTAAAGAAAGCTCACCGACCCCTACCTTCCCCTGGCCCCCCCCTCCCGGCAGTAGAGAGGAAAGTTACATTAACTGCGTGTTGGCTGTGGATCCAGCCGCAGTTAATCAATTACTCTAACAACTTGAAGAAGCTGCCGGAGCACTTCCAGGTTGCAGTTGGTGCTGGACCATCAGGCGTACCGGACCACTGGATGCCGGACCACCGGAGTTTTACTGTACTTTGCTTCAGTCTTTAATGAGGCTAATGAAGAGCTTAGGGATAATGGTAACATAACAAATGAAACTAAGGATATGGAGGTAGATATTACCATATCCGAGGTAAAAGCCAAACTTGAACAGCTTAATGGGAGTAAATCGGGGGGCCCAGATAATCTTCATCCAAGAATATTAAAGGAACTGGCACATGAAATTGCAAGTCCATTAGCAAAAATTGTTGTTAAATCCCTAAACTCGGGGGTTGTACCATTTGACTGGAGAATTGCTAATATAGTTCCTATTTTTAAGAAAGGAAAAAAAAGCGACCCGGGTAACTATAGGCCTGTTAGTTTGACATCTGTAGTATGCAAGATCTTGGAAAAAATTTTGAATGAGCAAGTAGTTAGAGACATTCTAATGGCAATTGGGACAAATTACAACATGGTTTTACAAAAGGTAGATCGTGCCAAACCAACCTGATCTCCTTTTTTGAGAAAGTAACAGATTTTTTAGATAAAGGAAATGCAGTGGATCTAATCTACCTCAACTTTAGTAAGGCATTTGATACAGTACCACATGGGGAATTATTGGTTAAATTGGAAAAGATAGGGATTAATATGAAAGTTGAGAGGTGGATAAGCAACTGGTTAAAGGGGAGACTACAGCGGGTCATACTGAAAGGTGAATGAGGTCTTGGGATGTATTAAGTGAGGTATTTCCAGTAGGGATAAGGAGGTGTTAGTGCCATTATACAAGGCATTGGTGAGACCCCGTTTGGAATACTGTGTGCAGTTCTGGTCTTCCATGTTTAAGAAGGATGAATTCAAACTGGAACAGGTGCAAAGAAGGGCCAGTAGGATGATTCGAGGAATGGAAAACCTATCTTATGAAAGGAGACTCAAGGAGCTTGGCTTGTTTACCTTAACCAAAAGAAGGCTCAGGGGAGACATGATTGCACTCTTTAAATATATTAGAGGGATAAATACCAGGAAGGGAGAGGAATTATTTAAGCTTAATACCAATGTGGACACAAGAACAAATGGATATAAGCTGGCTAGTAGGAAGTTTAGACTTGAGATTAGATGAAGGTTTCTAACCATTAGAGGAGTGAGGTTCTGGAACGGCCTTCCAAGGGAAGGAGTGGGGGCAAAAGATCTATCTGGCTTCAAGATTAAATTAGATGGGTTTATAAAGGGGATGGTTTGATGAGATAACATGATCTTGGTAACTAATTGACCATTCATTATCAGTGGTAAATAGGTCAATGGAGGGATGATAGGAGTTATTATAGAGAACTTTCTGGGTGTCTGAGTCTTGCCCACATGCTCAGGGTTTAGCTGATCGCCATATTTGGGGTCGGGAAGGAATTTTCCTCCAGGGTAGACTGGCAGAGGCCCTGGAGGTTTTTCGCCTTCCTCTGTAGCATGGGATACAGATCACAGCTGGAGGATTCTCTGCATCTTGGGGTCTTCAAACTATTTGAAGGCTTCAATATCTGAGGTAAAGGTGAGAGGATTATTCTAGGAGGGGGTGGGTGAGATACTGTGGCCTGCATTGTGCAGGGGGTCAGACTAGATGATCACAATGGTCCCTTCTGACCTTAAAGTCTATGAGTCGATCTTAAGCACTGATCCCATCCATACTTATGGATTTGCACACCCTTAACTTTACTACTATAAGGCTCCGTCTACACTGACATGATTTTGCACAAAACTGGCCGATTGCTGCCTGTCTACACTGGCGGGGAGTTCTTGCGCAAGAACACTGACTTTCTAATGTGTGAAATCAGTGCTTCTTGCGCAAGAACTATGATGTTCCCGCTCAGGAATAAGCCCTCTTGTGCAACTGCTCTTGCGCAAGAGGCCATTGTAGACAGGCAACATGAATTTCTTGCACAAGAAAGCCCGATGGTTAAAATGGCCAGCGGAGCTTTCTTGCACAAGAGAGCATCTACACTGGCACGGATGCTCTTGCGCAAAAGCACATGCCAGTGTAGATGTTCTCTTGCGCAAATACTCTAACGCAAGAACTCTTGCATTAAAGAGCATTTGTGCAAAATCATGCCAGTGTAGACGTAGCCTTTGTGCTTAAAGTCAATAAAACTTTACAGTAGTCAACTTAAGCTAGTGCGAAAATGTCTGTAGGAATGTGGCCTTATCTCCACCATTTGGCCATCCATATTTTAAGTTCAAATTTATCTTCATCTGTTTCACCATTGTGATTGAGGCAATTTTTACAGTTTGTGTAACAGATCAGAATTTAGACTGTGGTCTTCTAGTTACTCTAGATGAACATTGTGAAATAATGAGTCAGAGGTTGCTATAAGATTTATTTTTCTGAAGAAAGATGACTACTAATCCAGATATTTCCAAGCATCCTCCCTTGCCACTACTTATTGCATAATACATTTGTGTGACAAAGATCTACAATGCAATTGCCACCTAGATGTTTCCTAATTGAAACAAATATTTTATACCCTTCTTACAGAGCCACTTTCCTTATATAGCTGACTTCCAAATTCTTGTTATACATTTCAGTTGTAACTTCTGTTTCTGGTGTGGTGTTTTATTTAGTTTAATGCTGCCTGTGCTTGACATCTTGTTGACATCTCTAGGACATGAGGACAAGTTTTCTTCATTGAGAGGCCTCCCCTGGCTGTAATCTAAACTGCAGTGCCTCATGGATATCAGGTGGCACACAAATCCTAAGCATTTCCATAGTGATGACAGCTTTTCACAATACTACTCTGTTGTTGCAGACAGAGAATATCACAGAATAAAGAGGTTGCTTCCAGAGAGTTAACACACCAGAGGCTTGCAGGGACTTGCAGCACTCACAGGACTTGGAGAAAAGGAAAAATCGTGTGGGAGGAGAAAAGAAAGCAAGCCAGAAGAACAAGAAAAGTGATAAACCAATGAGATAGAAAACAATTAAAAGTGCAGGAGGGCTAGAATAAACTAGAGATAATCTGGCCTCTTAGCAACTGTTCCTCGGCTCTGTCACAGACAATGGATCAGAGCTGGAGGCACTTGAATGTATCTATGCATAGTTAGTTATACAATCCCCTTTAGCACATTATTATACTGGTGCAAGTGGTACTCAATATAAGCATAGCTTATTTTGGTATAGAAATGGCACCTACCTACTGCCAGAACTACATTTCCACTGGGGGGGGGGGATACTGTTCTAACTATTTCTTTTATTTGAAAATAAAAAACACCCTAACCAACATATTTCCATCACTACAGAAATGGTTTAGACCAGAACTCCTTCATACAAAAGGAGTTTTGCCTGCGTTAAGTGGCTTAGAAAACACTGCTCCAGAAGAACAAATTTGGAGCTCAGCTGTCAGAAGAGATAAGGGAAGCCCAAACTACTCTCTGCTAAGAAAAGATAAGGATAAGTAGTAAAGAAGGCCAGCTTATCATGCTCCTTTGAATATTAAAATGGCCCCTGGTGCCTCCTGAATGTTTTTTTAAAATACAGTCCTTCGGAAAACTAAAATTGCAATCCTATTTCTAAGCCCCCTAGAGGAACTCAAAGTACATTACTCCTGCTGCTGTTACCTACTCCAGATTTGCTGTCCAACGGGGTTAAGAAAAAATGAATGATTGGTGTTTGAGGCTTTTATAGCCAGCTGACATTTAGCCTGGCTCCTCAGTGCAAAGTGGGTAGGTTACTACCCCAGTGAAAGCAGCACCTGGGCAATAGCCTACAGCTCCGAGCAGGAGGGGTGGGCAGCACCAATAGACATAAGTGAGAAGAGGCTTGTAAGTGTAGATTGTTTAGGAGCAACACCTGAGTTAACTCAGCAGCGATGATGTGAAAGGCTGGTTGGCGAGGGGTGACTGAAGGGGGCGGCGGCGCATAAGGGACAGCTGATGGTGGATGTGAAGCGGTCTCAGTAAAATAGCGGGTAGTGGGCAGTAGTCACGTCTTCCATCTAGTTCTACTAAGAGGCTGTGTCCCATCTATGCCATGCCTCCTCTAGGAACAGGCGGAACTTGCCTGCCTGAGCAAGGCACAGCTGGGCTGAACTGGGTTTGCAGTTTCCTAGGCTGTGACACCCCAGCGATAGCACTGCTGGGTTAGCTCCGGTGCCCACGTGGACTGGCAGCACTGGCTCTGGTGGGCATGCACAGATTCGGTCGCTTGTACCAGCCTCAGTACAGCCCTGAAGAAAGGGGCTTGCACAAGCCATGGCAGCGTGTGCCCGCCTAGGCCAGGCATTGCAGGGCTCCGCTGAGTTTGCCCAGCTGCCTGTAGGAGGAGGGTAAGGTTGGATTTGTTCCAGCAATGGCGAGACTGTGCCAGCCTAGGCTGGGCAGCGCTTGCTCCTGTTCCTATTTCCTTCATGTCGCAGCGATACAATTCTGCGAGTCCCTTTTCCAGACCGACTCCTCCCTCCCTCGCCCCAACAGGGCACCCTTTCAGCCCGCCCCTGGTAAGGGGGCGGCGCCTCGCTGGCAGCCGGAGTTGTGTAAGGGGAGATGAGAGCAGCACATTGATACGCTGGAGCTGGAGAGTTGGTTGTGTAAGCTGGATCTGCAGGGAACTACGGAGGGGTAAGCGCGATCTCTTCCACCCCTCAATTAACTAAAGGGGGTGGCAGCAGTAATTAAGCCTCACTAACGTCATTAGGGTGATGGGGATTGTTGCTGGTTGATTACGCTGTCCCTCCACCCTTCCCAACATTGTCTGCCACCCCATAGCGTCCCATGCTTGCATTTTTGGATGGGATGATAGGAAGCTATTCGAGTAACTCATGGTGCTTGTTTAATTCCGGTCACCAAATCAGCACTTTGCAATTCAAAGGACTAAGAACAAAGCTCTGAACGTTGTAATCCTCTTGCTAAAATAAAACCAGAACCCACAGGTCCATACCCTCTAAAATAAAAAGGGTAGGGAATGAGCTTGGTTGAGAACTGAGAGCCAGTGCCCTCTACAAGTTGAAAGGAATCTATATTACCTTTCCTTGTTTGTTAGTGTAAGAGAGTGCACCGTGCAGGAGGAATGGAGTGTGGTTTGTGGGGCTAGAGTAGGATGTGGTGAGTCAAGATGCCTGGGTTCTATTCCTTTCGGTAACATCTGACCTTGGCCCCAGCGTTGTTGAGTGCCCAGACATCTCTTGAAGTCAAAGGCAGCTGCAGATGCTTAGCTCTATAAAAATCAGACTAACCTTAGTGCATCTCTGCTTACCCATATGTAAAATGGGGCTAATAATGCCACCCTGTCTAAATCTTCTGAGACTTCAATCTTGTTTGTGAAGCACTGGGAGATGGTCAGCTGTGTGAAATGCTGACCTTTTATTACAGTCTCAAACTTAAGTGGAATGTAGAAAAAGTATTTACAGGCATTTTAATGTTGCTTTGTGCTTTGGTTGACCCTGTCACTGGAATCTCCAAGAATGCCAAAAACACTAATAAATAAAGGTTTGAAATGTGCTTGTGAAGGCACCTCTAATTTACAAAGGGAGGAAGGTAAGGCTCAGAGACATTAAAGAACATGCTTGACCTCACATGGGTGTGACAGAATCAGTAACAGAATATGGGTCTAATTCTTAGGTCTTGTGACTAAAATATAGAACTCTCACATTTTTAAAAAATACATTAAATTGCTAAACTCAGACTTAATAAAAATCAGATTTAAATAACCCAGTTTTATTAGCCATTTTTCTTCTCTTTTCTATTTAAATTGAGAGGTGGCATACCATTCTCAAGGTGCATCTGCATTCACCGCTTCTCTTTTCTATTTAAATTGAGAGAGGTGGTATACCATTCTCAAGGTGCATCTGCATTCACCATCACCAACATCCATCCTGGGTTAGGGATGTTGCGTTTAATCGACTACTCAATGTATTTTCCATCAATAAGCGAGGGAAACTTCGGAGCCTGCTCCCAGCCCTGAAGCTAACCCTGCTGCAGCTCTGCCTTTTTAAATATATTCCGAGCTGCCTCTTAATGCATTTTAAAGGCTAAAGTCCCCTGCACTGTGCTTCTGCTTTTTAAGTGTATTAGGAGCCTACCTGCTCTTAATACATTTAAAAGGTAGAGACGCAGCATCCAGTCCCCTTCCCCCTCCCTCCCGTTCCTCTGCTTCTCTTGCCTCCTGTGGAGAAGGTGCTGGGGAGAATTGGCTTTTAAGCCAGCTTCCCCAGCAGCTCCTGCTCTTCCCCCATTGCTGCCTCCAATAGACAGCAAGGGTGGGGAAGCGACTAGTCAAGTCACTACTCAAATATCTGATAAGCTTATGCTTATCGGATAGTCAACTAGTCACTTACACTGTAACTTGGGATAAGGATGTAAGACAGCGATGAGCAACCAAGAATACTGGGTGGGCCACAGGAGGGGCCCTCCTTCATCTCAGTGGGTCGCAGCAGCCCATGCCTACTGGGATTCTACCTGCACCCTGTGAACTGCCTGGCTGCCCATCTTCCCCCATGTGCCTCTTGCTCACTGGAGCCCTGAAGTGCCTACTCCTCCCCTTCCTTCCCAGCACTTTCGAACTTCCACAAGTCATCTGATTGGCACTCTGGCCCTGCTCTTCTCCCTTCTTCCCTCCCAGAGCTTGAACAGCTGATTTGTGGCATTCCAGCTTTGAGAGGGAATGGAGGGAGCATGAATCAGCAGATCTGTGGTCTTCTGAAAGTGCTGGGAAACAGTAGGAAGTGGAGGAGTACTCAATATAAGCATAGTTTATATGCAGGTGGAACCCTAGAGGGCTGAAGGTTGCTCACTGCTTCTCCAGCCCCCACCAGTTAACTGTAACTAGTAAGTATCAACCATTGCCCACACAACACTGTTGACACTGGTTCCTTTTATCTGCAAAACTTTTGTCTTTCATGGATGCAGTGTCATTTTAACACCTCTGAACCATGGAAGTTTTGTCCTTCAGTTGCCAGTGTAGGCATAGCCTAAAAAGTAGCTACTTCATTTTCTCTTCTTACCTTTTCTGCTTATTTTCTTCCTATTTTGAAAATAGGAAAATACCTCTGTGTATTCCACTGTAGTTTAAGAACACAGGGCAATTAAGAGCCTATTGTTCAGCAATTAAGAATCCAGCATTAAATTTCCAGAAATGTTGTAAGGCATTAAGGCTGCAAATTTACCATTTTAAAAATAAATTGGTTTGTAAAAAAAAAAATATGAAGCTGACCAGTCTGGCCTCACTTTTTGAGCAGAGTTAAATTTTAAAAAATAGTAAAATATAACGAAAAATAAATTAGTTTTTTTTTTAAATTGTATGAATACAGGGAAGGGAATTTAATTTTTGAATATATGTTTTAACCAAATAGTTTAGCCAACCTAATGCATGTTTAATATGCCTATTACCATAGGAACTACACATTAAGATCCAAATTGAGAGTTGCATTTGTCTGTAAAGAACTCTGTCCTCTACCTCTTCTTGGCTCAGTGAGTGTTCTGCCTTAGCTGTTGTTTTCAATTTTAAACCATCCTTTCTCCCCCCCATAGGGATTTTATTTTTGTTGCTGCTGCTGTCTTTTCCCCCATGCATGAAAATCTCTAGGAGAGAATATAGGATTGTTAAAGAAGGAAGGAATCTCCCAATCCCCAAAAATGGAAAACCTAGAGTTACAACTGGGCTAAAGGTGCAGAATATAAGGTGCTTTATGGACAAACACAGGCCTCAGGCCTCCAGCCAGATCCCATTGAAGGCACAGAGGCTCCACACAGACATATGGTGCATGGATCACATTACAGGATCAAAGTACAGCCATTATTCTGGTGTTTAAATTACCTTCCACTGACTGCTCTAGCATAGACTTACTATGTGGGTGCGCTGGGACTGTAGCACCTATGGGAAATGATGGGTGTTTATCACCCACTAGCAGCCCCGCTACCAACTCCTCTCCTGTCCCCACAGCATCTCCTTCTTGCAGGTGCCCCTCCCCACCCCGTGATCAATTCCCACCATGATCTGCTGTTCCATGGTGTGCAGGAGCCGCTGGGGGGAGAAGAGGGTAGAGGTGGGGTGAGGGTGGAGGTGGAGTGGGGATGGGGCCTTCAGAAGAGGGGTGGAGTGCTGGGATCTTTTGTGCCAAAAACATGCCGCCTGTCTACACTGGCGGGGAGTTCTTGTGCAAGAACACTTACGTTCTAATGTGTGAAATCAGTGCTTCTTGCGCAAGAACTATGGTGCTCCCGCTCAGGAATAAGCCCTCTTGCTCAACTGTTCTTGTGCAAGAGGCCAGTGTAGACAGGTAACATGAATTACTTGTGCAAGAAAGCCTGATGGCTAAAATGGCCATCTGAGCTTTCTTGCGCAAGAGAACGTCTACACTGGCATGGATGCTCTTGTGCAAAAGCACATCTCTTGCACAAAGGCACATGCCAGTGTAGACGCTCTCTTGCGCAAATACTTTTAATGCAAAAACTCTTGCGTTAAAGAGTATTTGTGCAAGATCACGCCAATGTAAAATAGCCCTAGAGTGCCAGAAGTGTGTAAGGCAGTTCACAGGCAAGTATAAAGATAAATTGTTGTTCAAGATCATCTCATAATCTAGACCAGTGTTTCTCAACCTTTTTTGCTCATGGCCCCCTCCTGAGCCTCATTCATCATACACCTGGCAGTTAAGTTTGGGTGGCCCCCTTAGAAACTTACTGTGGCCCCCTAATGTTCTGTTTCTTTCCATGTGGCCCCCTAGAAGTAAGGCGAGGCCCTCTGGGGAGCCGTATGGTCCACATTAAGAACCACTGATCTAGACAATGGTGATATATACTAGGGATGTTCAAGATCAGGTATTTGGGTAAATGGGTAACTGCAAGAAATTTTAGCAGTTACATGTTTACATGTGGGTGGGGGACAGGCAGGAGCTGTGAACACTGGCTCCTGCCTCCCCCGCTGCCTCTGATAAAGAGGCAGCAGCAAAGGGGGCAAGTGGCTCCGCAGAGCCAATATGCACAGGAAGCCAGTTTGAAAGCCACTTTCCATGTTTACCAGCTTCCACCTGACTTCCCCCTCCCCCCACCACGGCTTCTGTATCCGAGGCAGCAAGGAGGGAGTACAGGTGTTCAGTAGGATTAATTGATAAGCCCAATTTATCGTGTAATCTACTACACATTGACATCCCTAATGTATATACCAAGCACGGTCCATGAAAACCAAGAGAACTAGAATTCAGGCATCTAAAGAATGCAGAATGTGGAATAATCATAGTTTTCTATTTGAGTGGAGAATAAGATGGTTGTGTGTACTTAATGCTGTTGTTAAACTGTTATAATTGCTCCCTGGCTCTTTTGAACACAAGCATGTGATGAACATACATATGATCCTAACACCTAACATGGGTGGTGTGTCATTACTATTTGGATGAGAATATTTTGCTTTTTCACCCCAGCAAAGCATAGAAAGGGATGATCAGGGATAGTGGAGATCAAGGCTACAGAATAATGTGTATTAGGGTTGTGAAAGACTATACAACTATCCTTAAGCAATGCTAGGTGACTAGTCCCTCCCCTCTCTCCTTGCTGCCTCTATTAGAAAGAGTCAGCAAGGGATGGCGGAGGAGGGAGGGGGAAAGAAAAGGGGGTACTCCAAAGTACTT